TTCGGGAAAACACCAATTTTTGGGAGGCACGCGAAAACGAAAACAGGGAGCTTATGAATGAAACAAGCAGAAACGGATAGTGATTCTATACAAATGCACAAGACTACAAAGGACTTAGTTCAGTGATTCTCAACCTGGGGTCACCAGATGTTTTTGGCTTACAACTCCCAGAAATCCCAGCCAATTTACAAGCTGTTAGGATTTCTGGGAGTTGAAGGCCAAAGACATCTGGGGACCCCAGGATAAGAATCACTGACTTAGTTAATACGACATTCTTGTAACACAATAGCCAACCAGATGCCCATGGAAAACCTATAAGAAAGCAGAAGCATAGTGGCAAACAACTACTCACTCAGCCTGTAATTTTCTACCCATTTGCTTTCAAATATGAATGAACCTTTTAAATCCAGTGGATCAATCCAGTGGGGATTACACATTCTGAATTCATCCCTGTGTAGAGTTGTTCTAGAGGTAATATTTTGAAAAGCAACACCTAAGAGTGAGTGATAAATAAGGAAATAAAGATGAACTCTGGTCTACATGGCATATCTCTAGAAAAGTGAAAGACGTGACTTACAGTCCCTACTGTGAAGTGACACATTCCTTAGGATGGTTTGTAGTACAAGAGCATTTTGGCAGTAACCAGTATTTAAAAGCTTCCAGACCCTTATATGCAAATTGGGATGTTTTCAGACAAATGTTAATTGTCTAAGCAACTTCCCTTATTCACAATGTATATTACTAGAAGCAAAGTTCCAGAAGATGTTGTTGTTTGTAATTGTTACACCTTTTCTCACTATGTCTTTCATCTCTTTGTCACAGAAAATCTGTTTAAGGAAAGAAAAATGGAATAATAGGTGCATGGTGTCTAAACTGGTAGTGCCAGGAGCTGTTAGTTTGAGGGCACCTTTGATGTCTGTTTCAACACAGAGATGGTAGTCATCTGTCATGACCCAAGGTTTCAGAAACAATATGTATCTCACAGGGATATTCTTCTGTTTTTGTAAGGCCAACTTTGTTCAATCTTAAAATTGTTGAAGATGTTTCTCCCCCTAATGTGTATCTGTTAAACAATTATAGTTTAACCTTAAAAAAAATCTAAGGCTGGTTTTGAATAGATTTTCTTTGTATTTGAGTTGAGGTTGTTCTGTAGTAATAAATTCAACAGGCTTGGCTATTAACAAAAGCAATAATATTCTAGTTGAAGGGAGATAGTGGCTGATAGCTCATGTCCCTGTGTGTGCCCATTAATGTCTCAGGACAAGATACATGGACTTCCCACTCAGGGCTTAACATTTATAGAGCCAGCTTATTCTTTTAAAAAATATGATATTTCACTTAGGTGCTAGGGGAAAAGGTTTACCTAAATCATATATAGACTAATTTATGCTATGGTTAAAACACATACATTGATATATAGGTGGAAATCCTAATTGTTTCCTGTGTGGGATTGCAAAAAGAATATTCAGCTACTCTGTAAAAAAAAAAGAAAGATAAAGTTTGATTTCACATTGTCCACAATTGCCTTTAAGAAATAATAATGTCTGGATTTCAGTTCTTCTTTTAATTTCTTCTTGTCTACAATGTGCTTCGTATATTTACATCCCATATAGTTTGTACAGCTGTGATTTAGTACCAGTACAGAAGTAGTGCTACAGCACTCCCCTTGAATGATACTGTGGTGTGTGATACCATTTTTTGTGGGACCCTTTTTGTATTTTTCATGATGAGACATCTTGTGGAAGTGAGGGGGTGGATAATAATGATTTCAGAGTTGAAATATCTTAGCTAACATTACAGCTCTACAAAAAGTTGATGTTCATGGGTTGATGGATTCCTAAGCTTTTGTGTAAGCTCAGAAATACTCATCTGCTGCAGTCTTATTTTTAAGTGCATGTGGAGGAGTAACTGCTCAGTAAGTATGCACTGAAATATAATTCTGTAGTAGAGGAATTAATAGTTGTAATCATGCACTATCAAGGACCTCACCAACCACTTAAGTGTATGGGTTAAACCTACAATTGTTATAGCAGTTTATGCCTGGCTGGTTTAAATACCTAGGACTCTGTCCAGGACTGCCTGCATTTACAGAAAGAACAGGCTATGCAATCAAAGATCTTTTTGTGGTAGTCTTCCTGCTAAAAAGGGAAACCAGTTTTAAAACTGAACAATGACTTGTCCCTTCAAGAGTGTAAATAACGCCCAACAGTGATCTGTTTGGCAGTTAATATCATATATTTCCTTTATTTCCTTGGTCTGTAAAAGTATGAGTTAGAAAAACACAAAAAATTAGCAGTTTTCGCTGTACCATTTTTGGAGTTAGCTATGCTTCTTTGCTTGAAAGAATCCAGCAGCATGAACCAAAAAAGATAATTTGTAATATACATATTACATGATATGTTTTAATAATAATAATAATAATAATAATTCTTACCCACCTCTGCACATGGCTTAAGGCGGGTTACAAAATAATTAAAACACATAAACATTGCAAAAATGCCACAGATACACATATTTAAATATATTTCTATAAAAGATACATATTAAAACATATTGCTATAAAATACGTATTAAAATACATAAAACAGAGATTAAACAAATGACACACATTTAAAATTCATATTTAAAAACTATCTGGGTAGGCCTGCCAGAAGAGATAGGTTTTTAGATGGTTTTAAAATTTTGACAGCGCATTTAGCTATTGGAGCTCTTCTGGCAGGTCATTCCACAATCTTGGGGCGGCTGATGAAAAGGTCCTGTGGGTGACAGTCACCATTCAGGTTCTGGCTGGTTGGAGTTGCCGCCTGCAGAGAACCAAAGTGTTTAGGACAGATTGTACGGGATAAAGCAATACTTTAGGTAACCTGGACCCAAAGTGAAAATCAACACCTTCACTTTAAAAGTGAAAATCAACACCTTGTACTTTTTTGCCCGGAAACTAATCAACAATCAGTGGAGTGACTTTAGGATAGGTGTAATATGCTCACTCCTAGATGTTCTTGTAACCATTCTGGCTGCTGTATTTTGAACCAGCTGGAGTTTCTTGACTTGGTACAAAGGCAGTCCGATCTATAGCGCATTGCAGAAGTCCAACAATGAGGTTACCAGCACATTCATTACCATCTTTAGGTCCTTCAAAACTAGGAAGGGGCACACCTGGCATATAGTTATGCTGTTACTTCCATCCACATAACAGATAATTGGAAACATGCAAGGGATCAATTACACGAATCTTGAAATATGTACTTTATTATTTGAACAGAATCGTTGTATCCAAATCGTTTCTTAAATGTCTTTTATGTGTTTGTGTTTGAGTGTGTTGGTTAAAAGGAAGGCTACAAGCAATTGGTGACAATACTGCAGTGTTACACATCAATTAAATCCCACCAAAAGCAGTGGACTTAAACATATGCTTGGGGTTCACAGTGAAACCATCAGAATACACAGAGAAAATTGTTGTGACAAATTGCAATCTGCTCTCTGTCTGCCCCTTTTACTTAGAAAAAACTAAAGAGAAGGTGGTACATGTGGTTTTCATTTCAGATTCTTCTAATAAACTTGTTGTGAAGTCTTGGCACCCTAGCACAGACTGCTAGGGTGTAGAGATTTCTTAAGGAAAAAGTGTAACACCATATAAAATACAAGGAGTTTTATATCTCACATAGTCTGTTCTTTAATGAGTATAGGTAAAGCCTTCCTTAACTGAAACACTTGTAACTAGAGTTGTTTGTATGCTACTTATATTACCACCTAATTTTGTATGCTACTTATATTACCACCTAATTTGGAATATAAGTAGCGTGGTACATACTGTATTTGTGAGGCTGAAGAGCATTATACTTCAACTCCTGCCATTTTCACAGATCCTTAGTTTCTTCAATCTCACACTCTATACACCGGTGATTCCCAACCTGTGGTCCATGGACCGCAATGGGTCCACAATAACAAAAATATGGTCCACGGAAACCCTCTTATAGTGCTGAGGCTTATTAAATATGGTTTTCTGTGGGTGAGCAGATGGCGACTACTAGATGGCATATGTTCTGTGTCAGAAACTAGAGTTGATGTGCTCTGTCCAATGCAATTTTGTGAATCAGCACCCCAAATAACCTAACTGAATATAAAGTTATCCAAAAACTGATTCATATCTCTATTGGTACTAATGTTGGAGAGTGGTCCCTGGTCAAGTGATCCCTGGTCAAGTGGTCCCTGGTCAAGTGATCCCTGCTGTACACCATACAAGTATGAAACAAATGAGTTGTGAGGCTTTGCAGAGAATGAGGATATGTGAAATGGTGACAATCCAAGCATAGTGCTTGGTATCAATCCACATCCAATGTGCTTATTTAGTGGACCAGGTAGAACTCCATAAAATGTAGTACCTGGTATAGACACTATCTTTGTGTGGATTGATCAGAAGTTGGGGAGTCACTGTAAGCTCCATGTAAGAGAGGAGGATGAAAATAAATACTTAAATGAAGAAAACCGTCATATAGCAAATTTTGGTTAAAGTGGTTTCCTTTTCTTTCTGTGTTCTGTTTTCAAGATAATAAAAATGCATTGTTGATACCTGTAGGATTTGGGCTCAGAGGCACAAACGAAACCTTTTTGCCATATATCCTAAACGCAGAAGATCTTATCTTGGAAACTGAGCAGATTGCAAGTTCTGTTGGCTGTATTTCAGAGGAAAGTAATAGTACAACCATTTCCGAGTATTCCTTACCTAAGAAAACACTGAAATTCATAAAGTCTTCATACGTTGACAGGCCACTTGAAAGCATGTAGGACACCCACAGAAAGCTTTAGCAAATTAAGGCAGCAAAGTGTAATTTTTGCTAGTCTTGATTAGCATGACTTGGAGCTTCAACTTTACAGTGAAATCATGCAGTTTGATGGAAGTGAATGTAGATCTTCTAGATGCCTCTCTAAAAATGTTCACAAATGATGGAACTAGAAGTAATTGTTGCTAAATATGTGTATTCAAACATTTTGTGTTCTAGAAAACTTAATGCGGCCTCTTGTGAACTATGGAATTGCATGGTAAGCAATCTATGGATTAAAATCGATTTTATGTATTTACCTTATATATCTTGCTCCTTATATCTTGTTTGAAAACTGGGCATAAATTATTTTGTTTTCTAGTATGTCTATGGGTTTCTTGGTCCAAGAAACTGCACCTATTGTGTGGAGAGGACTCATGGTTATGTCAGCCATCGAAAAATTGTTGAGACAGGTAAAGAGACATTTAGTTTCATTCATATGCAGCAGGAAAGTAAATTTTTATTTCTTCCCTAATTATATATTTTTAATGCATTTTAAATGTTTTGAGAAAAAAGTAGTATTGAAAACATTATCATATTCATTACACATTCTATCTCTACTTCAGCTAATTTGCCTTCAAACTTTATGTGAATTTTAGCATTGGTTGGTATTAATGCTGCAATGTTATGGGACTCACAAACTTAATCATTTCTGTGTTGTCCAAGGCTTTCATGGCCAGAATCACTGGGTTGCTGTGAGCTTTCTGGGCTGTATGGCCATGTTCCAGAATGGAATGTTGGAAGAGAGGAAAAGAGATTTAAAGGTGGGCTCAAAGCCAACCTTAAAAACTGTGGCATAGACACCGAGAACTAGGAAGCCCTGGCCCTTGAGCACTCTAGTTGGAGGTCAGCTGTGACCAGCAGTGCTGTAGAATTTGAAGAGGCATGAATGGAGGGCGAAAGAGAGAAATGTGCCAAGAGGAAGGCACATCAAGCCAATCCCGACCGGGACCGCCTTCCACCTGGAAACCAATGCCCTCACTGCAGGAGAACATGCAGGTCAAGAATAGGGCTCCACAGTTACCTACGTACCCACTGCCAGGACACTGAACATGGAGGACAATCTTACTTGGACAACGAGGGATCGCCTAAGTAAGTAAGTAAGAACATGGCCATACATCCCGGAAATCTCACAGCAACCCATTAATCATTTATTTCTAAAAGAGGAAGATAGTCGTAACTAGGGGGAAGGACTGCAGAGGATATGCTTTCCATGGAAAACATTCAACTCCAGAAGTAGTAGAGAAAGGAAAGTTTGTGAAATCCTGCAGTTCCACTGACAGATGGTTCAAGCAATAATGAGTTAGATAGCCTATTAATATGTACAGAGTAACTTCTTGTGTTCCAGTTATCGACCCAAACCTTAGTCTAGTCAGTTACCATTTGTTGAGTGACTTTGTGGAAGGCACTGCTGATAAGAAACAATAGAATTTACTTTCACAAGCTATACGTAATCCCACATGCCTTGTAAGAAAAGGTTCAATATTATGGTAGATCTTTTGCTATGGCTGAAAGCATCAGATCCTCTTATGCTTCTCTCTCACTAGTACTGTATGCTGCATATGGTTTTAAAATAGGCAATGTATTTGAAGGTAGATTTACAAGGCCTAACAGAAACCCAATAGAAAAAAGTAGTGAAACCTATAAAACTGTGAATATATGACCTGAAATAATTGTGGAATGTACGTATACATTTGTCATTGAGAGTCTATAGTTATTCAGTCTAACTATAAACAGTGTTAACCTAGTATAAACAGTGAATTGACCTATAATGAAGACAAGATAAGTACTGCTTTACAGAATACCGGCTGATGTAGTTAGATGGCTAATGTAATTGGAGTCAGCAGACAGCAGCATGGTGCATTATTTCACTTCTAGGAACCAGAATGGTAGAGGTAGATTTATATGGACAGTGAATGTCTCTTTTCTGAGAAAAGAACTTTACAAAGTGAAAGAAGTGTGTAGTGCACAGTTAAACTTTGCCTAGAACAGTGGTTCTCAACCTTCCTAATGCCGCGACCCCTTAATACAGTTACTCATGTTGTGGTGACCCCCAACCATAAAATTATTTTTGTTGCTACCTCATAACTGTAATTTTGCTACTGTTATGAATTGTAATGTAAATATCTGATATGCAGGATGTATTTTCATTCACTGGACCAAATTTGGCACAAATACCCAATACGCCCAAATATGAATAGTGGGGGGGGGGGGGGGGTTGATTTTGACATTTGGGAGTTGTAGTTGCTGGGATTTATAGTTCACTTGCAATCAAAAAGCATTCTGAACTCCACCAATAATGGAATTGAACCAAACTTGGCACACAAAATTCCAATGGCCAACAGAAAATACTGGAAGGGTTTGGTGGGTATTGACCTAGAGTTTTGGAGTTGTAGTTTACCTATGTCCAGAGAGCACTGTGGACTCAAACAATGATGGATCTGGACCAGACTTGGCACAAATACTCCCAAATATACCCAAATGTGAACACTGGTAGATTTTGGGGGAAAACAGACTTTAACATTTGGGAGTTGCATTTGCTGTGATTTATAGTTCACCTACAATCAAAGAGCATTCTGAACCCCACCAATGATAGAATTGGGCCAAACCTCCCACACAGAACCCCCATGACCAACAGAAAATACTGGAAGGGTTTGGTGGGCATTGCCCTTGGGTTTTGAAGTGTTTGTTCACTTAAATCCAGAGAGCAGGAGGTGGGAGAATTTGCTGTCTGTTTCCAAAAACTAAGAGAAGGACAGGCGGAGAGATCTTCAGCCTTCTCTGCCAAAGGGGTTCCAAAGACCATCAGAAATATGTGTTTTCTGATCGTCTTTGGTGACTTCCCTGAAATTGCCTCGCAACCCCTCAGGAGTCCCGACCCTCATATTGGGAAACACTGGCCTAGAATAAGGCTGTCAATGGCTGCTAAACATATAACCATTCGGTATTACAGGTCCCTTATACCTTGGGTTATTGTAATGCACTCCCATAGGGATGTCTTCAAAGAGTGCTAGGAAACACCAGCTTGGCCAAAGAGTAGTAGTCAGTTGGTGTTGGCTATAGGGAGGATACTCTTGATGCAACAGCTATGCTGACTGCTGGTATATATCTGGGCACAATTCAAAATGCTAGTTATGACCTACAAACCCTATATAGTTTAGGTCTAGGCTGTGTGACAGACTGTAATTCAAGCTATGAACCTGCCCAAGTCTTGAGATCTGAAGAGGATTTGTCATTATTTTCTGGCATTCTCACAGTTATGTTGAGGAAACACGGGATAAGGTCATCTTGGTGGTTCCTTCCAGTCTCTTGGCCTCCCATCCTAGAAAGTCTAGACTGATGCCGTCCTTGTTGTTCTTCCATAGGCAGATGAAGACTTCCTTTTGTTTCAACAACCTTTTGAGGGATGATTGCTCATGGGGAAAGGGAGTGTGCTACATTTATCTTTGTTGTATAGACATGCTTTTAATTGTATCGATAGTCTAACAACCTTTTAACATTTGTATGGTGTATCTATTCTAAATTTTCAATGGCATTTTGGAAGAGAGGCACCATCATCACCTACTGATTGTGGTAATTGTTGCATAATAGAAGCAGAAAGGTGCTTGTAAGTTTTCCATAATTATCTACAGTTGTCCCTCCACATTTGTGGGTTCGATTTGATTATTTACAGATTTGATTTGAAGCTAGGAATTTCTAGCTTCTCCATTACGATTCCATGGCCTGCATCCAGCAGATGTTAACTGCAGAATTGTATTGGAGAACCTAGAAATTTTAGATGACAAAAGATTCTCAGGTTACAAAACTGCAGTTCCTTTATTTTCAGTTTTTCTCTTGCCCTTACCCAAGTAAATGTGGAGGGCTGACCATAGCTGATCACATAGGAGCATGTCAGTCTTCATTTCAAATTGTGGGTGCCCCCTGTTCTGTTTTCAGGAAGATTAGGAGGGGGGCCGTTCGGATTCGTAATTTTGAACCCTGATTTCCCTTTCCATTTTGTTAAGAATCTTCCCAAAAATAGAACCGGGGGGGGGGGGGGGGGGGGGGGGGGAGGACGACTCGAAAACAGAATGGATTCTGTGCCGTTTTGCATACACCTACTATTGAAGTTAAATGCTGGGCCAGATCCAGAAGAACTACTGTGTTTCTCTTCTATGGAATTCTGGGATTTGCAGTTTATGGAGGAGCCTTTACAATTCTCACCCAGAACACTTGAGTATCTCACTGAACTACAAGCCCTAGGATTTTATAGAATGGGACTACTGCAGAATAATAGTACTTCTTCTATATGGGAATGGGCTCCATGTCATAGTGCGGACATCACCACTGACCCCACTAAAAACTGCAGTTCCAGGAGACCACTGATTATTTTGTTGGGGATGAAGTGATGTGCAGTAACTGCAATATTGATGTTGCCAGTTTAATTCCCCAATGGGAAGCAGATGGCTGTTTCTTTCCTCTGTATGTTGATAATGTTATTTACTGACTCATTTGTTACCTAGCAACTAAAAATGTAGTCGTACTCTAGCAAATCCAGATTGGGGAAAAAGGAATGTGGTCCTGTGACAAAGAGGCCATTAATGATTTCTCATTCACTTGTGACAGTAGAAAGCTTTTAACAGGGGCTTCCCTCTAATCAAGCACTTTCCTTTAGTGTATGAATAATGTGCTCCCTAATCCTGCAGCACAATAAAAAGGTGGCATATTCTGGCAAAGACTAGTAGAATTTCCTGTAGAGATTGGTTTTATAACTCTCTAGAACTTCATGTGTTGGATTATAATGCACCGAAAGTGTTATAAATCTTTTTATTTCTGCTGACAGTGACTAGTTGCCTATTTCTGAAAAGCTGTCTAATGACTAATTTTTTGATGGGACCACTGTGTTGGAGATCTTCAGGAATCTTATATACACATTAAATAAAGGCTTACAGGTGGCCAATAGAAACATTCACACCTAGCTCCAACAGACAAGAGTCCGTCCACAGATATATAAACCTAATTTTCCAGTTTCCAACAAACCTCACAACCTCTGAGGATGCTTGCCACAGATGCAGGCAAAACCTCAGGAGAGAATGTTTCTAGAACATGACCAAACAACCCAAAAAGCCTACAACAACCCAAAGGCTTACATGTTTGTATTGTTGGCATTCATTGTAAAATTCCTGACGCCAGGCCCGTAGCCAGGATTTCGTTTCAAGGGGGGGGGGGGCTAAATTTTTTTCAGGGGGGGTTTGGGAGGGGCTGAGTTTGGGGGGGGGGCTGAGTCTGAGTGAAAGAGGGTCTACCCTAGCAAACCTTTTGTATCATTACCCCAATACCCCCATGCATATGGGATATATTGAGTATGGTGATCAGATCATGATATGAATAAACATAACAGTTTAAATAATGCACCAGTAAGGCCTTTTCGCGA